GACAGAACAGTGCGGAACAGGATCCTCCAAGAGAAACCACGGTTGAAAAGCTCGGAAGAGTACAAGAAGGTGTTCCTAGACAGAGACAGAACACAGAGAGACAGCAGCTGAGGGAGAGGACAAAAAAGCGAAAGGAGCTAGGAAAGGAGACAAGGATGGAACCAGCAGAGGTCAGTCAGAGCAGAACAGAGCAGCAAGGGCAAGCACACACACAACTATCCTCGGAACCCCACAACCTATCACACCATCCCAACACACAATACAATCCATACCCACAGCTTCCACCCAACCCCCAACCATACAATCCCACATTATGCTACCAGGTCTCCCACCCCCACAGGCCTCCCAAACCACAGCATTGGAAAGGAAACTGAAGGTATGGTACACAAACGCTGATGGAATAACAAACAAGTAGGAGGAGTGGCACGAAAGAGTCAAAGAGGCATCAACAGACATCATAGCGATCACAGAAACCAAGCTTACAGGTATGATAACAGATGCCATCTTTCCAACAGGATACCAGATCCTAAGGAAAGACGGGGGTGGAGGAGTGGCATTGCTGATCAAACACCGATGGAATTTTGATGAGCTGGAGAGAGGAGACAGCGGAGAAGAAAGTGATTGCATAACAGGAATGCTTCACTCTGGAGGTCCCAAGGTGATGATTGCAGTGATGTATAACCCACCACAGAACAGCAAGAGGCCAAGGCAAGAGTATGACGAGAGCAATAGAGCGATGGTTGACACACTGGCTGCAGTGGCCAGAAGAGCTCATGCATGCAGGGCAAAGCTCCTGATCATGGGCGACTTTAACCACAAGGAGATCGAATGGGAGAACTTGGAGCCACATGGGGGCCAAGATACATGGAGGGCTAAGATGATGGAGGTGGTACTGGAAAACTTCATGTACCAACACGTAAGGGACACTACAAGAGAGAGAGGAGAGGATGAACCAGCAAGACTGGACTTAGTATTCACCTTGAGTAGTGCAGATATTGAGGACATCACATATGAAAGACCCCTTGGGGCCAGCGATCATGTGCTTTTGAGCTTCGAATACACAGTAGAGCTACAAGTGGAGGGGGAAGCAGGAAGGCCTGGACAAATTAAACCAAACTACAGGAAAGGGGACTACACAGGAATGAGGAACTTCCTGAATGAGGTTCAGTGGGACAGAGAACTGGCAGGGAAGCCAGTTAATGAGATGATGGAATATGTAGCAACAATGTGAAAGGAGGCTGAGGAGAGGTTTGTACCCAAGGGTAACAGGAATAATGAAAAAGCCAGGATGAGCCCATGGTTCACCCAAAGATGCAAGGAGGCAAAAACCAAGTGTGCTAGGAAATGGAAGAAATATAGAAGGCAAAGGACCCAGGAGAATAAGGAGAGCAGTCATAGAGCCAGAAACGAATATGCACAGATAAGAAGGGAGGCCCAACGTCAATATGAAAACGACATAGCAGCAAAAGCCAAATCTGACCCGAAGCTGTTATACAGCCACATCAGGAAGAAAACAACCGTCAAGGACCAGGTAATCAGGCTAAGGAAGGAAGGAGGAGAGACAACAAGAAATGACAGTGAAGTATGTGAGGAACTCAACAAGAGATTCAAAGAAGTGTTCACAGAGGAGACAGAAGGGGCTCCAAAAAGACGGAGAGGTGGGGTACACCACCATGTGCTGGACACAGTACACACAACCGAGGAAGAAGTGAAGAGGCTTCTGAGTGAGCTAGATACCTCAAAGGCAATGGGGCTGGATAACATCTCTCCATGGGTCCTGAGAGAGGGAGCAGAGGCGCTATGTGTACCCCTAACAACAATATTCAATACATCTATCGAAACAGGGAGATTGCCTGAGGCATGGAAGACAGCAAATGTGGTCCCAATCTTTAAAAAAGGAGACAGACATGAAGCACTAAACTACAGACCAGTGTCACTGACATGTATAGCATGCAAAATCATGGAAAAATTGTCAGGAGAAGAATGGTGGAACATCTAGAAAGGAATGATCTCATCACCAGCAGCCAACATGGTTTCAGAGACGGGAAACCCTGTGTCACAAACCTACTGGAGTTCTATGACATGGTGACAGCAGTAAGACAAGAGAGAGAGGGGTGGGTGGATTGCATTTTCTTGGACTGCAAGAAGGTGTTTGACACAGTACCACACAAGAGATTAGTGCAAAAACTGGAGGACCAAGCAGGGACAACAGGGAAGGCACTGCAATGGATCAGGGAATACTTGTCAGGAAGACAGCAGCGAGTAATGGTACGTGGCGAGGTGTCAGAGTGGGCACCTGTGACCAGCGGGGTCCCACAGGGGTCAGTCCTAGGACCAGTGCTGTTTCTGGTATTTGTGAACTACATGACGGAAGGAATAAACTCCAAGGTGTCCCTGTTTGCAGATGACATGAAGTTGATGAGAAGAATTCATTCGATCGAAGACCAGGCAGAAATACAAAGGGATCTGGACAGGCTGCAGACCTGGTCCAGCAACTGGCTCCTGGAGTTTAATCCCACCAAGTGCAAAGTCATGATGATTGGGGAAGGGCAAAGAAGACCGCAGACAGAGTACAGTTTAGGGGGCCAGAGACTACAAACATCACTCAAGGAAAAAGATCTTGGGGTGAGTATAACACCAGGCACATCTCCTGAAGCGCACATCAACCAAATAACTGCTGCAGCATATGGGCGCCTGGCAAACCTCAGAACAGCATTCCAACATCTTAATAAGGAATCGTTCAGGACCCTGTACACCGTGTACGTTAGGCCCATATTGGAGTATGTGGCACCAGTTTGGAGCCCACACCTAGCCAAGCATGTAAAGAAACTAGAGAAAGTGCAAAGGTTTGCAACAAGACTAGTCCCAGAGTTAAGAGGTATGTCCTATGAGGAGAGGTTAAGGGAAATCAACCTGACAACACTGGAGGACAGGAGAGATAGGGGGGACATGATAACGACTTACAAAATACTGAGAGGAATTGACAAGGTGGACAAAGACAGGATGTTCCAGAGACTGGACACAGCAACACGGGGACACAGTTGGAAGCTGAAGACACAGATGAATCAAAGGGATGTTAGGAAGTATTTCTTCAGCCACAGAGTAGTCAGGAAGTGGAATAGTTTGGGAAGCGATGTAGTGGAGGCAGGATCCATACATAGCTTTAAGCAGAGGTACGATAAAGCTCATGGTTCAGGGAGAGTGACCTAGTAGCGACCAGTGAAGAGGCAGGGCCAGGAGCTTGGACTCGACCCCTGCAACCTCAACTAGGTGAAATACACACACACACACACACACACACACACACACACACACACACACACACACACACACACACACACACACACACACCACTCACACTCACTCACTACTCACTCACTCACACACTCACTCACTCACTCACTCACTCACTCACACACTCACACACACACTCACTCACACACTCTCACACACTCTCACCACTCACTCACACTCACACACACTCATCACACACTCACTCACCATCTCACACTCCACATCTCACTCACACACACTCCACACACTCACACTCTCTCACTCTCTCACTCTCACTCTCCTCTCTCTACTCTCTCACTCTCTCACTCTCTAACTTCAACATCTCATCTCTCACACTCCATCACACTCTCACTCTAGTCACGCTTCACTCTCACTGTCCACGCCTCACTTTCAACTCTTTAACTCTTCAGCTCTCTCACTCTTGTCATCTAACTGTCTCAAGTCTCTCCACTTCTCACACTCACTACTCTACTCTCACTCTCTCACACTCACCTCTCACTCTCACTGTCTCACTCTCTCACTCTCACTCTCTCACTCTCACTCTCACTCTCTCTCTCTCTCTCTCTCTCTCTCTCTCTCTCTCTCTCTCTCTCTGTAGAAGCCTTCAACAGGAAACTGGGCAAGTATCTTCACCAGGTGCCAGATCAACCAGGCTGTGCTGGATATGAGAGTCAGCAGGCCTCCAGCAGCAACAGCCTGGTTGACCAGGCAAGCACCAGATGAGAGTAGTCAAACTCTTAAAGCTCTTCAAAGGTACAGTGGAACCTCAGTTTTTGTCATTAATTCGTTCAAGAAAGTCTGACAAAAACCAAATTGAAGAAAACTGTAGCAATATTTCTCATAAATAATGTAAATCCAATTAATCCATTCCAGACACCCAAAGGTATTAACAAAAAATACATTTTATAGAGAATAACTATAGTTTTACATATAGAAAACAATGAGAAATAAATATAAAGGATTAATGAAATGGATAAATGAACATTTAATATCACTTTTACCTTTACTGAAGACTTGTTGGCGTATGGTAGATGCGAGGAGGGGAGAGGAAGGATGAGAGGTTATTGGTTGGAAGGGGAATCCCCCTCCATAAGGACTTCAGGTATTGAGTCCCTATCTGGGGATAGTTAATCACTGAAGAAGGCACATTCTCCCCTCTCTCCTCCTCCTCTGAAGCAATTTCCTTGGCTGCTATCTGTGCTGTTCCAGTTGAAGGTGTTACAGCTCTTCAGTGGTTAGCTCTCCCTGTGGTCATCCACCACCTCTTCCACATCCTGTCCACTCACATCCAACCCCATGCTACGAGTTCTTTCTTGAATTCTGTCGTGTTTCTCTGGCCCCATGGTGGTTTATTTAGCAGTTGCACTCAGTAAACAAGCACAAAAAACAATGGATTATTATGAAATGTTTCGGATGCATGCTCACTCAACGAGAGCTAAAGCCAGACTGACTCAGAACGTGTGGGATGCTTTGTGTGGGCGCTGGCAGGCAGACACGTTCGGTACGGCGGACTGACGAAAACTGAGGTGATGAACGAAAATTGGGACAAAATTTTGATGAAAAAAGTCGTCAAAAACCAAATCCAACAAAAACCAGGACAAACGAAAACTGAGATTCCACTATATAAAGGTAACCGTATTTTTCCCGTAGGTTCATCAGTTCATTATACACTTTTTTTTTTATTTAATATAATTTTTCTTCTTTAGATGGTGCTCGAGTGCATATCACAAAGTATGAGAAGCCTGGAAAGGTGGATGATCAGTCATGCAGTACTGCTCCCTGGAGTGCTGCTGAAGAGAGGGTGAAGAATGCAGAGCCAGTAGCTGAAACAGGAATGATCTTTGTTCGCAACCTTTGGTACTCTGTTACTGAAGATGACCTACGCGATGTTTTTCAAAAATATGGTAAAATTACTGTAATTACAGTATTTAGTCATTTTTTATATATGTACATTCATTTGCAAGATAAATACATACACTGTTGGGTTTACATCGAGTGTTTTGCATATTGGATAAAAACTAAGGTTATTGTCGATGTCATTACCCCAATTTCACTATATTTGTCATTCTCAAAAAACATTTGGTTGTCTTTTCTCTGGGTGTAATGAATGTAACCCTGTTTTCCCATATGTTCATCAGTTCATTTTAGATGATTTTTAATTAGGTGCTATTTTCAGGAGTATTACTACCATCTTATTCGACTGCCAACTGAATAAAGTTATCCAATAATAATGTTCCAATATACAGATATTAAAGCTACATAGCTTTATAGTTATGGAATGTTGGTGTTCACTGCTTCATTCTTTACTATTTTCATTAGTTCCTTATTCCATTTATTCTCTATCAGGAGAAATTTCAGATATCAGCCTTCCCATCTGTAAGTTTACTCGCCGTCCTAAAGGATTTGCCAAAGTGACATTTGTATTTCCCGAGCATGCTGCCCGAGCTATGACTGAGCTGGATGCAACAGTTTTCAAAGGGAGATTGTTACATATTCTTCCAGGACTCTCAAATGAAGAGAGTGAAAAAAATAAAGGTAATTTGTTGTATAAATAGTACTACGTACAGTAAACTCAATAAAATGTACTTTTGAAATAATGGACAAAATCCATTTAGTAAATCGTACTCTTTACTTGCTTGATTTAAATGTTATGGCAGTATATCTAGTAAATTGTATGTTCATTATTATATTAATTATACAGTAGAGGATATGAGTTTTTTTCTAAGATTTGTTAACATTATTCTGATTTAACTAACACTCGGACAGTCCTTGATATTGAAGTTATTTTTGCATTTATTGTTAACCTTTCCAGTGGCCATCATGAAGAACTACGTCATGAGCTCAGCTCGTTCAAATAAGCTGTGAGCGGTAAATTTTGGCCTAGATGTGAGAGAATGGGTCTGTGCGGTGAGGGTACACACTATAAAAAAAATAACTGTGACCATCTGTATGGTTTAAAATAGTGACTTTGAGGTGTTTTTTTTTTTTTCAGATGGTTTTAGTGGCTGTTTCTTTGTATCATTTGATAGAATGGAAAACATACTACTGAAATATGGATGATATTGATTGGTTTCTGGAGTGGAAGTTGAGGAAATGTTTTATTTTTGGCCAATATTCCTGAGAATATTATGCATGTTTTGTTACTTGGGCACAGGAAACCATGACTAATCATTCTTTGTTATATTTTGATATATAAGAAATAGAGTAAATTTTCTATTTTTCTGTGATTAAGAATTCAAAATGGAAGGCAAGTGTAATATAGGAGAGGCCTGGACACAATTAATTTTGTGTAAAATTGGACAAATTACTGACTTTTGTCTTTTTAGAAGGTAGTTAAAATAGTTGAATGGGTGGTTTCTTGTGCTCAATCAGTATAATGGATGGCATACTAGTGAAATAGCTAAGAATTTTGTTGAAAGTAGCAGTGATATGGGCTTCAAATAGAACTCAAAGTGGGGAAACTTGCCAATGCGTAAATTGTGCCTATATCTCTTAACTTTGTGTTTGCATAATTCTGTAAGTTTCCCATCAAATTTCATACTTTTGGTGTCATTACTTTCAGAAAAAGATTACCATTTCAGATAAAAAAAAATTTATAAGTGGACCCTGAGAGCAATATTGACCTTTTCACTCTCTAGACCCCCGAAATTAATATTGCTCGCAATGTCCACTTCACTCTAGGTGCCCCTTCAAACTGCAGATATCCCCACCCCTCTGTAGTGCAGGCACTGTACTTCCCATCTCCAGGACTCAAGTTTGGTTATCTGATTTCTCTTAATCCCTTCATAAAATGTGATCTTGATAATACTCAGACAGCTCATCAAGTCCCAAAAACCATTTGCTTAACATACTCACATGGGCCTACTGGATGTCCAAACCCATCACCCATAAAACCTCCTTTATCTCCTCCCTCCAGCCTTTTCTAGGATGATCCCTACCCCATCTTCCCTCCACTACAGTTTTATACACTCTTGAAGTCATCCTATTTTGCTCCTTCCTCTCTAATTGTCCAAACCACCTCAGCAACCCCTTCTCAGCCCTCTGGATAATACTCTTAGTAATCCTGTGCCTCTCAATATCCAAGCTTTCAATTCTCTGCATAATATTTACACCACACATTGCCCTCAGATACAGTCCATGCCTCACACCTATATTAGTCTTGGTACCACTATACTCTCATATCATTCCCTTCTTGCCTCCATGGATAACATTCATTGTCTTCACAGATGCCTCAATGCACCACCCACCTTTTTTTTAACTCTTGTCTGTTCTGTGGGTCACTTCATTTTTCATAGACTCAACTGCTGACAAGTCTGCTTCCAAATATCTGAACACATTTACTTCCTCCATACTCTCTCCCTCCAGTCTTTCATTACCTAATTCTCTTATTACCCTCATCACCTTGCTCTTTCCTTTGTTAACTTTTAATTTCCTTTTACATACCCTCTGAAAATTGTCCACTAACTTTGCACACTCTGAAAATTGTCCATTAACTTTGCCACTTCTCTTCAGAATCTCCTAAAAGCACTGTGTCATCAGCAAAAAAACAACTGTGACAACTCCCATTTTTCTATTAGATTCCACATATTTTAATCCCTCACCTCTCCCCAATGCCTTAGCATTCACTTTCTTACAACCCCATTTGTATACATTACTAAATTTAAAAAGAGAAACTTTTGTTTTTCCTTTTAGGCCACCCTGCCTCGGTGGGATACGGCTGGTTCACTGGGGAAAAAAAATATAAATATGTTAAACAGCCATAGTGACATCATGCATCCCTGTCTAAGGTATACTTTTCCTGGAAAATAATCTCCTTTCCTATAGATTCATTATTATTATTATTATTATTATTGTTTTTAACACTTTGGCTGTCTCCCACTGAAGCAGGGTAACCCAAAACAGAGGAAACAAAAGTTTTTTTCATTTGACATTTAGTAATTTATACAGGAGAAAGGGGTTACTAGCACCTTGCTCCCAACATTTTAGTCACTTCTTACGACATGCATGGCTTATAGAGGAAGAAGTCTTTTCCATTTTCCCATGGTATTATTATTCCTAGGTAGTAGGTTGGTAGACAGCAACCGCCCAGGGAGGTACTACCATCCTGCCAAGTGAGTGTAAAACGAAAGCCTGTAATTGTTTTACATGATGGTAGGATTGCTGGTGTCCTTTTTTCTGTCTCATAAACATGCAAGATTTCAGGTATGTCTTGCTAATTCTACTTACACTTAGGTTACACTACACATACATGTACAAGCACATGTATACACACCCCTCTGGGTTTTCTTCTATTTTCTTTCTGGTTCTTATTCTTGTTTATTTCCTCTTATCTCCATGGGGAAGTGGAACAGAATTCTTCCTCCGTAAGCCATGCGTGTTGCAAGAGGCGACTAAAATGCCGGGAGCAAGGGGCTAGTAACCTCTTCTCCTGTATATATTATTAAATGTAAAAGGAGAAACTTTCGTTTTTCCTTTTGGGCCACCCCGCCTCGGTGGGATGCGGCTGGTGTGTTGAAAGAAGATTATTATTATTCTAGGTAGTAGGTTGGTAGACAGCAACCGCCCAGGGAGGTACTACCGTCCTGCCAAGTGAGTGTAAAACGGAAGCATGTAATTGTTTTACACAATGGTAGGATTGCTGGTGTCTTCTTTTCTGTCTTATACACATGCAAGATTTCAGGTACGTCTTGCTACTTCTACTTACACTTAAGTCACACTACACATACATGTACAAGCATATATATATATATATATACACACACCTCTCTGGGTATTCTTCTGTTTTCTTTCTAGTTCTTGTTCTTGTTTATTTCCTCTTACCTCCATGGGGAAGTGGAACAGAATTCTTCCTCCATAAGCCATGCGTGTTGTAAGAGGTGACTAAAATGCCAGGAGCAAGGAGCTAGTAACCCCTTCTCCTGTATATATATTACTAAATGTAAAAGGAGAAACTTTTGTTTTTCCTTTTGGGCCACCCCGCCTCACTGGGATACTGCCCGTGAGTTGAAAGAAAGAATTATTAATTATATTATTATTATTATTATTATTATTATTATTATATGATTCGTGTGTTATGGTCCTGGAAGGTATCTATCACATGCAAGGACGACCCTAAGAATGCTGGCAACTAACTGTCTCGAAGGTTGTAAAACAAAAAAAATCTTGGGTGTAGATTTTTTAATCATTAGTAGATTGTTTGTTTTTTTGTTTCCCTCAAAATTGGAAAATTCTAAAAAATCAGGCCAGTGTGTGTTCCAAAGGTGTTGTTTGTCTGGGTTTGTTCTTGTACATTAATCTCATTATTAGTTGAAGTGACATTATGAAAATATTTGTAATTTTCATTTAAAGGATGTCACATTGTATTAACTATTTTTTGCCATTTCAGAAGGTTTAAGCTTTAAGGAAAATAAAGCTAAGGAGAAGAAAGTAAGAGCTGGATCCTGGCACAACTGGAACACACTCTTCATGGGGAGTTCTGCTGTTGTGGATCTTATGGCTGACAAGTATAACAAATCTAAACAAGAAGTATGTTACTTTAGTTCACTCTTTGTTTCTATTTCTGTCACATAATTTACTGTTAAATATATAATGACCTGCAGCTACAACTTAATAATGTACAATAAGCAAAATTCTCCATGGGGAACTGGAGAAGAATTTTTTCTTTTTAGTTCAAACTGCCTTGGTGGGACACAGCTGGTTCATTGGAAAGAAGAAAATCAAAATAACTTTAATGAAAAACAGTGAAATTTCAAGAGCTTTTTTTTTTTATTTTTTTTTTTTTCCTCTCTCTTTTTTTTTTAACACATCAACCATTTCCCACCAAGGAGTTTGTCTACAGATAGGAATTATAATTGAAATAGCATTTAACATTTTAACTGTACAACTTACTAACATGTAAGTAGCGTAAGTAAACAACGAAATCAGGAGCTGTTGTTCCAGACCAGCTGCCCTACCAGCAAATAACCTTTGCAAGTGGCACTGTAGGCATTCCAACTATTGAAGTAACTTTTCCTTTGTTTATTAACTCTGACTGTTTCGGTCGGTTATATACATCTTACGAGCCAATGTGTTTGATATATATATACACCTACCATCCAACTTATGACCTGCTCGACTTACGACCACTCGACTTACGACTGTGTTTTTTATGCCAAATTTCTGGGAAATAAACAACTATTTGTGTTGTACACAGTGTTTATCCTAAACCTTACAGTATAAAATACAGTACTAACAGCATAAAAAGTAAAGTAAAACATGAAATACCAAAATAAAACAAAAAATTAGTCATTACAAAAATGTTTTGTTGATATTCAGTAGTAAAGTTTGACTTACGACCATTTCGACTTACGACCGGTTTTTCGGAACCGAACTCTGTCGTAAGTCGGATGGTAGGTGTACTCCAAAATTCTAACGACTTCAAATCAAGCAGGAGAAAGCTGGTACTCCCACATGTGAGAGAATGGGACTATGTGGTCAGTGTGCGCAGTATAAACAAAAATCTTGCAGCACGCAGTGCATAATGAGAAAAAAAAATCCAACCGTGTTTTTGGATAAAAACGCCGACTTTGAGGTGTATTTTTGTATGGTATTTATTTTTGTATTCTCGTTTTCTTGGTCTCATTTGATAGAATGGAAGGCATATTGTAGAAATAGAGAGGATTTTGATTGGTTTCATGATGAAAAGGACCCTGAAATTGAGCTCAAAGTACCAGAAATGTTTGATTTTTGCCGATGTTCAAGAGTAAACAAATGACATCATTGTCCAATGAATGTCCAACTAGCTATTCTAATATGCAGTCACGAATGGAGTGACATTATTTATACAATTATTAGAATAATGCAGTAGTCTGCATAACAGTAAATCTTCTATTTTTTGTGTAAATAAAAATTCAAAATAGAAAGCAAGAGTAATATAAGAGGGGCCTGGAGACATGACTGATAAACAGAGAAAATGTTATTTTAGTGCCAGGAATGTCTGCGTTGTTCATTCTGGACCCTGTTTTGAAATTGGCATATTTTTTAATTTGTGTGAAATTGGTCAAATTGCCCATTTCTGACCTCTATATTGGGTACTTGAAATCAGTAAATGGGCAGTTTCTTGTACTTAATCAATAGAACAAATGGAGTTCTAAAGAAATAGCTATGAGTTTGGTTGACCGGAACAATGTAATTGGCGAAAATAGGGCTCCAAGTGAGAGAAATCGCCAGTGCATAAATATCACCAAGATCGCTAACTTTATAAGAGTGCAATTCCGTAAGTTTTCCATCAAATTTCGTACTTTTGGTGGCATCAGCATCGGGAAAAGATTCTCTCTCGTTTCATTAGCTTTTCCCCAAATATTTTGCAGCACTGAGACACACTCTAGAATTGAGGGTTACGACAGTTAAAGGGTTAATCATGTCCCCAGGCCTTTTCTGTATAACACTTGCCTTCGATTTTGAATCCACCATCACACACACACAAAAAAAAAGTGAAAATTCTCCCAATTTCTCGGTTAATAAACAATAAGCAAGAGTGCTTACTCATGGTTTAAGCCTTCCCAGTAATTGATACAGACTTATTAATAACCCATAAAACAAACAGGGGGTGGTGATTAGGGGTGCCTTCTACCTTTTCCCTGTAAAATTGCCCAAAATTGACTATTTCTTCCATTTTGAGTAATTTTTTTGGCCACTTCCAGTCTTAAAGCAACCAAAAACTTATGAATAATATTAGAACCTCAAAACCCACCCAAAAAAATTTCCCAGAATCTTTTTTGTTCCCCAATCACAGGATCAGTGGTTAATGGTTTCAATAATGCACTGTGTGGGGTAAGATTTTTATACTGTGTTCACTCAGAGCATACACGCATTCTCTCATGTCTGCTCCAAAATTTGCCAGTCACAGCACACTTGAGGACTCTACGAATTATAAATGCTAATACGTCATGGACAGCGATCACTGGGAAGTACGAATGTGTGATCAACAGCTTTTAAGGGTTAAATGGTTGTTTTGGTAATATTTGTTTCCTAAATCATACCTAATGTGCACGTGACTCTAAAATGCAAATATCTTCCAGATTCTGCACTCTGAAGGCAAGCAGAGTGTAGCAGTCAATCTTGCTCTTGGTGAAGCTCAAATTGTTGCTGAAACAAAGAGGTGAGTATTCATTATATTATGCTTGCTTATTGATAGTAGCCCTGGTTTTTACTATATGCCCCATCCCTGAAAGGTTCCTTGATGATGATGAGGGGCTCTTGATCCAAGTAATAGAACTTCTCTTCCTCTGCTTTGAGTCAGACTTGATTGCCTTTTATTCCCCTAAGCACTGTTTGAGTCCCAATGGAATAATAATAATAATATTATATGCCTAGAATAATAATAATATTATATGCCTAACTTCTTGTGAATGGTATGATTCATAACAGTATTGTATTAAAATATTTAGTGGGTGAGAAAGGGTAATACAAATTTGCACTTAACATTCAGCAACACCTCATTACAGAGAGGAAACTTAAACAGTTAGTCCTCTGAATTTTTATCATGTAATGAGTTGTAATACTCAGTCATATATTGTAACATCAGCTGTAGATTGCTAAAGTTGGAGAGTTGTAACATTGTAGCATTACTCTGAGAACTTGGTTCATTCCATATGCCTAGTTATATATTATATAATAATGATATATATATATTATATATATATTACAAACGGCTGTTCACAAGGCAGGGTGCCAAAGAAAAATGAAAGTTTTCTTTTTAATTTAGTAATTAGGAAAGGGGTTACTAGCCTTGCTCCCGGCATTTTAGTGCTTACACAGCATGGTACGAGAAGAATTTGTTCATTCCCCATGGAGATAAGAGGAAATAAACAGAATAAGAACTGAAAAACTGAAGAAAACAGAGGGGTGTTATATGCTTGACATGTTGTGTAGTGTGACTAACTGTAGTAGAAGTAGCAAGACACCATCTTGCTGTTCATGAGACAGAAAATAAAGGACACCTGCAATACATGTGTAAACAATTAGTACAGGCTTCATTTTACACTCACTTGGCAGGACTGGTAGTATCCCCTGGGGGTGATATATATATAATATTATGGTATAGGTGGTAGACAGCAAACCCAGGGAGGTACTACCGTCCTGCCAAGTGAGTGTTAAAACGAAAGCTGTATTGTTTTACACGATGGTAGGATATGCTGGGTCTTTTGTTGTCTCATAAATATGCAGATTACAGGCAATTTGCTACTTCATTAAAACTTCACATCACAACTTAACTATAACATTACAGAGAGGAAACTTTAAACAGTTTTAGTCCCCCCTTGAACTTTTTATCATGTAATGAGTGAAAAATACTCCAGCATATATTGTAACATCACTGTAGATTTCAACAATCACTAGATTGTAACATTGTAGCATTACTCGAGAAACTTGTTTTTTCCATATCCATGTAATATATATATATTTTTTTTATATATAATATTAAAAATTTTTATAAATTTTAAAAAACCGCCCTACCCACCAAGGCAGGGTGGCCCAAAAAAAAAAGAAAGTTTCTCTTTTTTTAATTTAGTAATTTATACGGGAAAGGGGTTACTAGCCCCTTGCTCCCCAGTTTAGTTTTCCCCTTTTCAACACCATGGCTTCGGAGGAAGAATTCTGTTCCACTTCCCCATGGATAAGAGGAAATAACAAGAATAAGAATAGAAAAAAAAAGAAAAAACCCCGAGGGGGGTGTTATATGCTTGTACATGTATGTGTAATGTGACCTAACTGTAAGTAGAAGTAGCAAGACGTACCTGAAATCTTGCATGTTCATGAGACAGAAAAAAAGGACACCAGCAATCCTACCATCGTGTAAAACAATTACGTACAGGCTTTCATTTTACACTCACTTGGCAGGACGGTAGTACCTCCCTGGGCGGTATATATATATATATATTATGGTAGTAGGTTGGTAGACAGCAACCACCCAGGGAGGTACTACCGTCCTGCCAAGTGAGTGTAAAACGAAAGCCTGTAATTGTTTTACACGATGGTAGGATTGCTGGTGTCTTTTGTCTGTCTCATAAATATGCAAGATTACAGGCATGTCTTGCTACTTCTACTTACACTTAGGTCACACTGCACATACATGTACACATTTATTTATACACACTCATCTGAGTTTTCTTTGATTTTATCTTAATAGTTCTTGGTCTTATTACTTTTCCTTTTATATCCATGGGGAAGTGGAATAAGAATCTTTCCTCCGTAAGCCATGCGTGTTGTAAAAGTCAACTAAAATGCCGGGAACAATGGGCTAGTAACCCCTTTTCCTGTAAAGATTACTAAAAAGAATAAGAAAAAGAAAATTGTCAAAGTGGGAAGTCTGAATGTGTGTGGATGTTGTGCAAATGATAAGAAAGAGATGATTGTGGATGTTATGAATGAGAAGAAACTGGATGTCCTGGCTTTAAGTGAAACAAAGCTGAAGGGGTTGGGAGAGTTTCAGTGGAGAGGAATAAATGGGATTAGGTCAGGGGTTTCAAATAGAGTTAGAGCTAAAGAAGGAGTAGCAATAATGTTGAAGGATAAGCTATGGCAGGAAAAGAGGGACTACAAATGTATAAATTCAAGGATTATGTGGAGTAAAATAAAGATTGGATGTGAAAAGTGGGTTATAGTAAACGTGTATGCACCTGGAGAAGAGAGAAGTGTAGAGGAGAGAGAGAGATTCTGGGAAATGTTGAGTGAATGCATGGGGAGTTTTGAATCAAGTGTGAGAGTAATGGTGGTTGGGGATTTCAATGCTAAAGTGGGTAAAAATGTTAGGGAGGGAGTAGTAGGTAAATTTGGGGTGCCAGGGGTAAATGTAAATGGGGAGCCTTTAATTGAGCTATGTGTAGAAAGAAATTTGGTAATAAGTAATACATATTTTATGAAGAAGAGGATAAATAAATATACAAGGTATGATGTAGCACGTAATGAAAGTAGTGTTGGAGTGGTTGGTACTTTTGTTTAATAAATGTATGAAAGAAGGGAAGGTACCTAGGGATTGGCGGAGAGCATGTATAGTCCCTTTATATAAAGGGAAAGGGGACAAAAGAGATTGTAAAAATTATAGAGGAATAAGTTTACTGAGTATACCAGGAAAAGTATACGGTAGAGTTATAATTGAAAGAATTAGAGGTAAGACAGAATGTAGAATTGCGGATGAGCAAGGAGGCTTCAGAGTGGGTAGGGGATGTGTAGATCAAGTGTTTACATTGAAGCATATATATGAACAGTATTTAGATAAAGGTAGGGAAGTTTTTATTGCATTTATGGATTTAGAAAAGGCATAATCACTGTTTTTGCAGAGGTGCTCAGAACACAACAGTTTAGAAGCATATACGTATAAAGATACACAACATATCCCTCCAAACTGCCAATGTCCCAAACCCCTCCTTTAGAGTGCAGGCATTGTACTTCCCATTTCCAGGACTCAAGTCCGGCTATATAAAAATAACCAGTTTCCCTGAATCCCTTCACTAAGTATTACCCTGCTCACACTCCAACAGATTGTCAGGTCCCAAATACCATTCGTCTCCATTCACTCCTATCGAACATGCTCATGCACGCCTGCTGGAAGTCCAAGCCCCTCGCCCACAAAACCTCCCTTACCCCAACCTTTTCGAGGACGACTCCTACCCCGCCTTCCTTCTACAGATTTAAATAATCTCCATGTCATTCTACTTTGATCCATTCTCTCTAAATGACCAAGCCACCTCAACAACCCCTCTTCACCCCTCTGACTAATACTTTTATTAACTCCACACCTTCTCCTAATTTCCACACTCCGAATTTTCTGCATAATATTTACACCGCACATTGTCATTAGACAGGACATCTCCACTGCCTCCAACCGCCTCCTCACTGCTGCATTCACAACCCAAACTTCACACCCATATAAGAGCGTTGGTACTACTATACTTTCATACATTCCCTTCTTTGCCTCCATAGATAACGTTTTTTGACTCCACATATACCTCAACGCACCACTCGCCTTTTTTCCCTCATCAATTCTATGATTAACTTCATCCTTCATAAATCCATCCGTGGACACATCAACTCCCAAGTATCTGAAAACATTCACTTCTTCCATACTCCTCCTCCCCAATTTGATATCCAATTTTTCTTTATCTAAACCATTTGATACCCTCATCACCTTACTCTTTTCTATGTTCACTTTCAACTTTCTACCTTTACACACACTCCCAAACTCATCCACTAACCTTTGCAATTTTTCTTTAGAATCTCCCATAAGCACAGTATCATCAGCAAAAAGTAACTGTGTCAATTCCCATTTTGTATTTGATTCCCTATAATTTAATCCCACCCCTCTCCCGAACACCCTAGCATTTACTTCTTTTACAACCCCATCTATAAATATATTAAACAACCATGGTGACATTACACATCCCTGTCTATGACCTACTTTTACCGGAAAGTAATCTCCCTCTCTTCTACACACCCTAACCTACACACCCTCACTATCCTCATAAAAACTCTTTACAGCATTTAGTAACTTACCACCTACTCCATATATACTTGCAACATCTGCCACATTGCTCCCCTATCCACTCTATCATATGCCTTTTCTAAATCCATAAATGCAATAAAAACTTCCCTACCTTTATCTAAATACTGTTCACATATATGCTTCAATGTAAACACTTGATCTACACATTCCCTACCCACTCTGAAACCTCCTTGCTCATCCGCAATCCTACATTCTGTCTTACCTCTGATTATTTCAATTATGACCCTACCGTACACTTTTCCTGGTATACTCAGTAAACTTATTCCTCTAATTTTTACAATAATTTTTACAATTCCCTTTATATAAAGGGACTATATATCTAAAAGAAAAAAATGGCAGTAAGTATTTCTTATTTTGTTGTCTTGCTATGGTGTATATAATGTAGACCTTGTCTGAGGGCTTCCCAGAAGTAGAATTTGAGTTAGTGTCATTGTTAAATTGTCCTCAAAAGATGAAGCTCACACTTCAGAGAAACCTTGCCCAGGTGAAGAATTCTATGGCTCTGTCTTTATTTTACCCTATAATATTTTACAGTATTTAGAGCAGCTTGGAAATCCAACAGGCATATGTAAGCACATTAAATAGGAGTGAGTGGACGTAAGTTGTTTTTATGACTTGATGTGCTGTTGGAATGTGAGCACGGTTAGATTTATTAAAGGATTCAGGGTAAGCAAGTTAGCTAGACTTGAGTCCTGGAAGTGGGAAGTACTGTGCCAGAACTCTGAATAAGGGGTGGTGGTATTGCAGTTTGGAGGGTCATCTGAGCTATAATGTCAGTGAGCCACTGCTGGCAAGATGGTGATAGAGTGAGTGATGGTGAATGTGTTTATTCATTTTTGGGTCACCCTACCTTGGTGGTAGACAGCTGGTTTGTTAAAAACATTTAGATAAAATTTCTGAATAATCATTACTAGAATACGGTATATTCTATATACATACTGTATAGTAGTTTTTAATATGTCCATTATGTGTTAAATCCTGTGGTTTGTCAGTGTTTTCTGAATGAAAGGCTGCATTCATATGGTCACCCATCCAGTTACTGGTCAAACTCAGTGGTGCTTAACTTGTATAAACAAGCAACAAACATCATCCATTATGCTCTGCCAGTATCATTGTAATAATATTCTTTACATTTTTATCTTGATAGGTTCCTAGAGGATAATGGAATATGCTTGGAGGCATTTTCAAATCCAGATGTGCAGCGATCTAGCACAATCATTTTAGTGAAGAATCTGCCAGCTAAAACTACTGCCAAAGAATTATTAGAAATTTTTGGGCGATATGGAGAGCTTGGGCGCGTAGTTGTACCTCCCTCTGGTGTATCAGGTAAAGTTTATTCTCTCTTCATTTTCACTCAGCAGTTACAGTATGATGGTAATGGTGTTATATAATGCCTAACAAAAAAAATTCTTCTAGTGTTCTCTTAAGTTTTTATTTGATTTTTTTTTTTTTTTTTTTTTTTTTTTTTTTTTTTTTTTTTTTTTTTTTTTTTTAGCACAATTATTTTCCACTAAGGCAAGGCGATCCAAAGAAGGAAGCACATTCACCATCACTCATTCTCTGACTGTATTTTCAAAAGTGCATTGGACATCACAGTTCCTATGTGAACTTCTTCATCCGTACCCATCCTAGTAATGAATTATAATTAATGTTTTACTCATACTCTGTTTCCCTTTCTAGGTGTTATCGAGTTTCTAGATCCAGGTGAAGCAAAGAAAGCATTCTATAGTTTGGCTTACTCAAAATTCAAGTATTCTCCCTTGTATCTGGAATGGGCTCCAATACAAGTTTTTAAGACAGAATTCTCACCTCAGCCACAAAAGGAAAACAATCAGTCTTTAGAAACTGATAAGGAAGGTATGTAATGCAAGGTTTAATTTATATTATTAGTAAACAGTAGACAGCAACCACCCAGGGAAGTACTACCGTCCTGCCAGATGACTGTGAAACAAAAACCTGTAACTGTTTTGCATGATGGTAGGATTGCTGGTTTCTTTTTCTGTCTCATAAACACGCTAGATAACAGGGATATCTTGCTACTCCTACTTACACTTTGGTCACACTTCACAGACACGCACATGTATATATATATATACATACATCTAGGTTTTTCTCCTTTTTCTAAATAGCTCTTGTTCTTTTTTATTTCTTCTATTGTCCATGGGGAAGTGGAAAAGAATCTTTCCTCCGTAAGCCATGCGTGTCGTATGAGGCGACTAAAATGCCGGGAGCAATGGGCTAGTAACCCCTTCTCCTGTATACATTTACTAAAAAAGAGAAGAAGAAAAACTTTATAAAACTGGGATGCTTAACCCTTTGAGGGTTTTGGTCGTACTAGTACGTCTTACGCGTAGGGGTTTTTGACGTACTAGTACGCATAAATTCTAGCGGCCTCAAATCTCGCAGGAAAAGGCTGATAAGCCTAGATGTGAGAGAATGGGTCTGTGTGGTGGGTGTGCGCAGTAGGAAAAAAATCTGGGACCCAGTGGTGCATTGTGGGAATGCCATCATAGTACACAATTTCCACCGTGCCCTGCGGTAAGAAGTTCCTCACTCCTCGGCGAATTGGGACACTTTTGTTCCCCAGTGACAGTTCTAATACAGATGGAAGTGACAGTGAAGATGAGTTTCAAGGTTCTGGTGAGGTTTTGACCGAAACTAATGACCATAATATGGGTAATAGTGAGGAAAACCCAGACAACCCACAGCCTTCCACCTCTGGTGCTGGCCGTCGTTCAGTTGTACCAGAATCAAAGAGGAAACTCCTATTTTCCAAAATCCAGACTCAGATGTGAGCATTGGTGATGATAATGATAGTGATTATGAACTACAAGCTCTTCAAACTTGTTCCAAGAATGGAGGAGGAGGAGGAGGAAAGAGGAGGGGGAGGCAGAGGAGGAGGAGGCAAGAGGAGGAGGAGGCAAGAGGAGGAGGAGGCAAGAGGAGGAGGAGGCAGAGGAGGAGGAGGAGGAGGAGGAAGAAGAAGAAGAGGAGGAAGAAGAGGAGGAAGAGGAGGAGGAGGAGGAGGAAGAAGAAGAATACGTAATGATAACAATAATACATAATAATAATACATAATAATAATAATACATAATAATAATAATACATAATAATAATAATACATAATAATAATAATAGGTAATAATAGGAAAAAAGGTGAGTGGTGCGTTGAGGTATATGTGGAGTCAAAAAACGTTATCTATGGAGGCAAAGAAGGGAATGTATGAAAGTATAGTAGTACCAACACTCTTATATGGGTGTGAAGCTTGGGTGGTAAATGCAGCAGCGAGGAGACGGTTGGAGGCAGCGGAGATGTCCTGTTTAAGGGCAATGTGTGGTGTAAATATTATGCAGAAAATTCGGAGTGTGGAAATTAGGAGAAGGTGTGGGAGTTAATAAAAGTATTAGTCAGAGGGCAGAAGAGGGGTTGTTGAGGTGGTTTGGTCATTTAGAGAGAATGGATCACAGTAGAATGACATGGAAAGCATATAAATCTATAGGGGAAGGAAGGCGGGGTAGGGGTCGTCCTCGAAAGGGTTGGAGAGAGGGGGTAAAGGAGGTTTTGTGGGTAAGGGGCTTGGACTTCCAGCAAGCGTGCGTGAGCGTGTTAGATAGGAGTGAATGGAGACGAATGGTACTTGGGACCTGACGATCTGTTGGAGTGTGAGCGGGTAATATTTAGTGAAGGGATTCAGGGAAACCCGGTTATTTTCATATAGTCGGACTTGAGTCCTGGAAATGGGAAGTACAATGCCTGCACTTTAAAGGATAGGTTTGGGATATTGGCAGTTTGGAGGGATATGTTGTGTATCTTTATATGTTTATGCTTCTAGACTGTTGTATTCTGAGCACCTCTGCAAAAACAGTGATAATGTGCGAGTGTGGTGAAAGTGTTGAATGATGATGAAAGTATTTTCTTTTTGGGGATTTTCTTTCTTTTTTGGGTCACCCTGCCTCGGTGGGAGACGGCCGACTTGTTGAAAAAAAAAAAAAAATAATAATAATATGTAATAATAAATGTTCACCCATGACAGTAACAAGATAAGGGGAGATAACATCTGATAAGTGCTGACGTTTGATGAGGGTAAATGAGGGTAGAGCTGATACCAAAGATGAGATGAACATCGCCCTCCCTTTGTTTTTGCTGGTATACTAACATTTCTGTCTGTCTATTTGCCTGTCTGTCAAGCTCCCTGTCTATCCGTCTAGCTCTCTGTCTCAGAGAGCCACAAGACTGCGTCATCACTTTTACTCACATCTTCAAGCAGAGTATAGCACTTTGTCTGGGTTTCTTGGGTTATCCTAGGTAATTTATACTATGTATACTTGTATTTATGTGTACCTGTGAGACAGAGATAGACAGACAGATAGAAGAGGGAGAAAGATAATTAGATAGAATGGAGGAGGGGAAGCAGCATCCGACCCCATTGTTTTGACAGGCCGGAGGGGGAAAGAGTAATGAGCCAATATGTCACTTTGACAGCTGCCGACTCCTTGTAATTTACACTATGGACCCAGGAGGAGAAGGAGGAAGAGTAGGGGAAGAGGAAGAAGAGGAGGAGGAGGAAGAGTAGGAGGAAGAGGAATAAGAGGAAGAGGAGGAGGAAGAGGAATAGTAGGAGGAAGAGGAAGAAGAGGAGGAGGAGGAAGAGGAAGAGTATGAGGAAGAGTAGGGGGAAGAGGAGGAAGAGTAGGGGGAAGAGGAGGAAGAGGAAGAAGAGGAGGAGGAGGGTGGAACACTAGTACACTGGTACTGGTACACTAACATTTCTGTCTGTCTATTTGTCTGTCTGTCAAGCTCCCTGTCTATCTGTCTATCCATCTAGCTCTCTGTCTCAGAGAGCCACAAGACTGTGTCATCACTTTTACTCACATCTTCAAGCAGAGTATAGCACTTTGTCTGGATTTCTTGGGTTATCCTAGGTTTAATTTATACTATGTATACTTGTATTTATGTGTACCTGTGAGACAGAGATAGACAGACACATAGAAAGAGAGAGACAGATTGAAAGAGATAGAATGAGGGAGAAAGATAAAACACCATTGTGTATGACACCATGTTTCAGAGTTCCACAAAACTGCAGAACTAATAGGAATATGTTCAGTGACTGTATATTGGTATATATATTATAGAACAATAATAATAAACAATGTTTTGTATTGTTTGTTTTTGTAAACAAGTTTTGTAAACAATATATTGATAATTATGTTTGTGTGCTTATTGTGTTGTATACAACGAGTGTATATATGTACATTGCACCTTACTTTGGTCTCATAGGCCACATAAGTTATGTGAAAAAATAAAATAGTGAAAAAAAAACAAACCTTCAAATACAAGTAAATCAAAGTTTACCGGGTGAGCGGCAGTCGCCGCTGTTGCCATACGCGGCTCATTTTCTGCAAACTTCATGCATCCATATCTCCGTAAGTATTGATGGTAAAATTTTTTTGTTTATCCTATAATGTTTAGAAAAAAAAACTCTATTTTTTCATAAGAAAAAATAATTTTTTTTTTTTTTAAATTTGGCCGACCCTGAGAACGAGTTTCGGAGAGGGCCTGTCGACCCTCAAAGGGTTAAATGTGCGTGGATGTAGTGCGGATGACAAGAAACAGATGATTGCTGATGTTATGAATGAAAAGAAGTTGGATGTCCTGGCCCTAAGCGAAACAAAGCTGAAGGGGGTAGGAGAGTTTCAGTGGGGGGAAATAAATGGGATTAAATCTGGAGTATCTGAGAGAGTTAGAGCAAAGGAAGGGGTAGCAGTAATGTTAAATGATCAGTTATGGAAGGAGAAAAGAGAATATGAATGTGTAAATTCAAGAATTATGTGGATTAAAGTAAAGGTTGGATGCGAGAAGTGGGTCATAATAAGCTTGTATGCACCTGGAGAAGGGGGAATGCAGAGGAGAGAGAGAGATTTTGGGAGATGTTAAGTGAATGTATAGGAGCCTTTGAACCAAGTGAGAGAGTAATTGTGGTAGGGGACCTGAATGCTAAAGTAGGAGAAACTTTTAGAGAGGGTGTGGTAGGTAAGTTTGGGGTGCCAGGTGTAAATGATAATGGGAGCCCTTTGATTGAACTTTGTATAAAAGGGGGGGTTTTAGTTATAGGTAATACATATTTTAAAAAAAAGAGGATAAATAAGTATACACGATATGATGTAGGGCGAAATGACAGTAGTTTGTTGGATTATGTATTGGTAGATAAAAGACTTTTTGAGTAGACTTAAAGGATGTACATGTTTATAGAGAGGCCACGATATATCAGATCACTTTCTAGTTGTAGCTACACTGAGAGTAAAAGGTAGATGGGATAAAAGGAGAATAAAAAGCATCAGGGAAGAGAGAGGTGAAGGTTTATAAACTAAAAGAGGAGGCAGTTAGGGTAAGATAAAAAACAGCTATTGGAGGATAGATGGGCTAATGAGAGCATAGGCAATGGGGTCGAAGAGGTTTTTGGGGTAGTTTTAAAAATGTAGTGTTAGTTTTTCAGCAGAAGTTTGGGGTTTTACAGGAAAGGGGGTGCGGGAGGGAAAGGAGCAATTGGTGGAAGATGATGTAAAAGAGAGTAGTAAGGGAGAAAAAGTTAGCATATGAGAATTTTTTTTACAAAGTAGAAGTGATGCAAGGAGGGAAGAGTATATGGAGAAAAAGAGAGGGGTTTAAGAGAGTGGTGAAGCAATGTAAAAAGAGAGCAAATGAAGAGTGGGTGAGATGTTATCAACAAATTTTGTTGAAAATAAGAAAAAGTTTTGGAGTGAAAATTAACAAGTTAAGAAAGCCTAGAGAACAAATGGATTTGTCCAGTTAAAAAAAGGAGAGGAGAGTTATTAAAGGGAGAGTTAGAGGTATTGGG